GGAGAAAAACCATACCAGAGCACTCGCCAACCACCCACAGGAACATGTCTACACATAAACATGTGACTGTATCATATGGCAAAGAAAAAGAAAAGGACATCTGCATAGGTATTTTCTTTCTTTTATTATTTTTTCTTCAACATGTATAAAAATTCACAAGAATGCACTCATCTCATAGAAATAATAATGCCCCCTCATAAAACACAAAATAGGCTTGCCTTGTCCATAGTAACAAAGAAACAAAGTCAACATGAGCTTAATGACTCATGTTAAAAAAATTCGAAACATTGAGTTGGGACCTGGTAATCTCACAGATACACATCATTCATGAAAAAAGTTGAATTGATGTGAGAGTAAAGATTAGTACTCCGATACAAAAACAGTCATTCAGACCAAAGAAAAAAAGTCAGACAGACAGACAGACAGACAGACAGACAGACAGACAAGAACAACAGAGCGAAAGAACAGAAGTAGGACCTATCACTGACCCAATGAACTGTAAAAGAAGAAAAATAAATCCACATCATCTTGGAAAAAAACCCCAAAAAACAGTATCCTGCTCAACTTTCTTAACCCGTGATAATCACCCAGAATCCTGTAACAGTGTACAGCCTTAGAATTTTGGATGGCCTGCACAATAAAATGTACGTATTTCCAGGTGTGAAATTTTTTGTTTAACTCTATAAGGACGTATTCGACAAATAATTATCATTATGCTCAATCAGCGGCAGACTAAAGACAATGTTGTGACACATTTTGAACCATCATAAACAAATCAAAAACACAAATTTGCAAATTTCATAGCATGTATGTTCTTGCCTGCCTTATATAAGAATAAGATAAAGAAAAGGGAACTGAAAATTGTATGAATTACGCAGCTATGCTTCATTTTTTAAATATAAAGTGCTCCAAGACAGTATGTCCTCACCAAGTTTTAAGAATCAAGCAGGCATTGAAATATATACATTGGTAAAATCTAGTACTCACTGAAACAAGCTCAAGAACATCATTAATATCTCTACTCAGTCCCTATGCATGTACATGAAAATATAACATGAAATAGATCAACGCCTTCTTTTGGAAATACAAAAAAATAATACAATGTTATTGTCAAAGTTTTATACCCCTGCCACAATTTAGATCATTTAGAAGGCTGGCTTTGACCCTACCTGTCTGGGTCAACCCAGACAGAGAGGGAGACAATGTCCCTTCAGAGCAGCTGAAATACACATATTTGATCAAAATTCTCCCCACACAGGAATTAAACTAGGTTTCCTGCTTGCCATGGCACAGCACCTAACCTCTTCACTACAGATGTCCATCTGGAAAAATTCTCAATTAAATCTTTACATGAAAAAACCCACCAAATTATACAAACCCAAAGCTCTGGCCAGGATAACAACATTTACATTAAACAGCACCTTGCAAGTACATAGGTCATATGAAAGGCAAGGCACACTATGTTCTAAAACAGTATTTGCCAACCTGGGTAATATCGTGGGTGATTTGGTCATTTATTTCGGCAGTGGGGATAAATCAGGTAGTGACAGGTATTACTTAATGCCCAGCTTAGAAATATATATATAGGTGGGCGGTACAAAAATGTTAACAAAAGTGGGCGCCGCCCACAAAAAGGTTGACATGTACTGTTTCAGGAGAAAAATAGGCATGTCAATAAAATGAGTTTCAGTGCCGAGTTGAAGAACAAAGTAAAAAGAAAAATGAAGTGGGCCAAGATCAATATTCATTTATATAACATGGATATACAGTTAACTTGCCCTGAGACCTTGTGAGTGAGCACAGAATTAAAAGAATTATATCTCTGTATAAACATAATATACAAATCAAACTACAGTCGAACCTGTTCTAACAACCACCTGTCCAAGAAAATCAACAGTATAAAAGACCTCTTTCCACTTTCCCTGCAGCGATTTTTCTATATAGTTGAACCTGCTCTAATGGCCACCTGTCCATGACAATTACTTCTCCAAGACAATCACCGGACAAATGACCAATTACCACTTTAAAACATGTGATTTTTCTACATTAGAATATAACAACTGTCCAAGATATCCACATGTCTAACAGAAACACTTTTCTCCTCAACAATGGGTGGCCATCTTGGACAATTTCGAATGTATCAGGTTGACATGTCCAAAAAGATCATCACTCTCCTCGACAATTGACAATCGACTTGGACAGGTTCATTTGTATAAATACCTTCTGTTACAGGGTACAGATAAGGACTGACATCTCATGTATTTAGTGTTTAGTACAGGAACTTCTCATCAAGACACTACTGGCAACCTGACATGCTACACACATTTTGATGTTTGATGAACTATGAACACACACTTGGCACACTATACACATTATGATGTCTTAACTATGAACACACGCTGTGACACACTACACATATTATGATATGAACACACAGTGACACACTACTCACTACTCATATTATGGTGTCTCAACTATGAACACACACTTGACACACTACACACATTATGATGTCTTAACTATGAACACACGCTGTGACAAACAACACACATTTTGATGTTTGATGAACCATGAACACTCAGGCAGAAGCAACACAGACAAAATGACATCTAGAATAAGAAAATACAACAGAGGCTGCCTGTCCCCATGGAACGGCTGCGAACTCTTGAGTTATTGCATAAATCTCAAACGCCATGAAAGACCAGATAAAACAGCTGGAAGGAGGAAAAGTACAACAGCAAAGTCATCATTTACATTACGTCGCTGTTGCAAGCAATCCACTTTAGTCCAAATTTTGAGAATTTTCTATTTTAACACCCTCCCACAGCTCTATCAAAGATGCACCTTTCAATTTCACCAAAATGTAGTTAATTGCTATGGCCAAGGCTTACAGTTTTTTTATTTCAGGATTCCTGACAGGAACAACAGAACAAAAACTACTCTTTTTTTTTTTTGTCCCTGCTACAAAAAGTACCCAAACGGGCTTAAGTGGATTGCCCACGACACAAACGATATGTTTTCCATAAAGTGTTAGGAAACAGATCAGGAAAATGTAAAGAATTGGTCCATCTTCAGTCTGTGCCACCCTAACCCACCTGCTATCACATTCTCTGTACACTCTCGAAGCTACTCTACCCGTGATTTATTGTAAATGTTTTACAGTCCTACCAGCACACTTTAGATCATTTCGATGGCAGGCTTCTTTGAGTCTTCCTGTCAAGGCCAAACACTGGTTGCATTTCCACTTCTAAACAATCAGATTTCAGATTTTTTTTAAAGCACACATGCTCCTTAAATTCATTAAAAAGATCATATTACTAATTAATCATGAATGCACGGTACCCATTGCAATCATGGTACTAAATGCAGATCAACAAAAAATTCAAAAGTTTATATTCTTTATCAGGTAAAAAGTATTGTTCCAAAATGTTTACAAAATATAAATCACAAATTTTGTCTTTCTCAAAATGACATAAATGGCAATGATACATGACAGAAAAAAACAAACAACTGTTTAAATAGTTATAAAAAAGCATTTTTTAGACCTCTCAGCCCCGAGTTATCAGCATAAAGCTCAAACAAAAGAAAAAGCTGAAACAAAATAAACTGCAGCCGTAAAATGAACACAAAAGGTTTATAATTCGTACAAAAATAATACACTGTACCCGCTTTGCAAATTACAAATGGCAGTCTGTATGGCACGATATCATCAGCAAGCTGTTCAACTGTTCTGACCCCAAAAAACAAAACTTTTCAGGAGAGAGAAAAAAAACTGTTTCATTCGTTTGAACAATTATACCTGCATCGTGCATCTTTTCTTGCTTTTTCTCAACGTTCAAAGTTTGATTCCACAAAATATTTTTTTGCATATGCAGTCTATATTACAAATTAAGAAAAGGCAATTTAAAGAAAAGAAAAAACAAAAATCCACATTTTGGGCTCAGTAAGTCTAAACGGCTTACCAACAATATACAAAAAAAAGTTACCCAGGTAGACTACATGCCTAACACATACCATCCTTGCAGGAGGGGAAAAAAAGTGCAAATATATATGTAAAACATCATGATTGAGGGGACTTTCCTCTTCCTCTCAGCCATTTCCAGTCTATAGAAGTCACAACCAAGTAATTCTCAAAATTAAACAGTCACAATTGTAACTAAGAGACCCCTCCATCACATCAAATTTGGTTTAAGTTTTTCAGCTAACTTTGAAATGTCTACGACACCCTACTAAACACAAATAGAACAATTAAAAAGCAGGATACTGAGCCCCACAGGTAAAGAAAGAAGATGGAAAAAGAAAATAAGAAATAATGTACCAACAATACAGGAGAGAAAAAATCCATCATCTTACAAGAATATTTGAGAACAGATGTTCACAAGTGTCATTTTATCATCTCAGTATTGAAATCCTCAACATGGGAGAGCCTGACTCCTGACATACTCAGTTGGAGAACAAAAATTACAGGGGGCAGCAAATTATATGAGATTTCATGAATTAGAAAAGCTGAAACCATGAGAGAAGCCCCTAAGCTGCACATATCCACAAGTGGAAATGAAGTTTTTAAATACTAAAAATGTGACAAACTCTTCTCTTTCAGAATAAGTCTCATCGGCAATAGAAGAAACCACTAGTCATCTTAATCTTTATTTCTTCTCTTTCGCTTCAACAGAAAATTTAGCGATATGAAAATAGACTTTCATACTCCTGCTCAGACCCTACAAAAAATATTCAATGCGTTTTTTCGTACCGGTTGGCAGCTATAGAGAGTTAATCACATTCACAACCACACCAACCTCTGTATCTCTCCAGTAGAAATTGTATGAGGCTGAGGACACATTACAGGACAATTCTACAGCTGAAGTTGGTCTCCGAGTGTAAAGAAAAGATTTATCTTGTTGTTCAGAGACTGGCAAATCAGTTTAGTGCTTTCAAACTCCCCCTCCCCGCCCCCTCCTTCTCCACACACACTGACACACACACACACACAAACACACACACACACATACATTCATATACACATACTCTCTCACACATCCTCTCTTCCACACAAATATACACATACAATAAGAAAACAACTAAGCCAATTCTATCCTACGACAGCCGTGTCATAATTCATCCTCTTCTTCCTCCTCCACCTCAGCACCTGGTTCTCTTTCAGCTCTGACTGTTTCACCGCTGCCGACATCTTTGTCTGCCTCCTCATCTTCCTCTCTTGCTGCTTTCTTTGCTGGCGCTTTTTCTTTCTCCTTTGAGGCAAAGCTGAGGGACTCTTTATCAAATTTCAGCAGCATCAGGCCCAGCTCACCATCAAAACGATTCTTTGTGATCTAACGAAGAAAAAATACAAATAGCATTACAAAGTGCCAGTTCTATTGTTTATAATCATTCAGATCTTAACACTCACAACTGAGTGAGCTGTTGGCTCAGTCAGTATCATGCTTAACTATAGACCAGACGGCAATGGTTCAAATCCCCAACAGGGAATTCTGAACTTTGGGGTTGTTTTAAGGAGTTTTTTAAAAGGCTCTCCACCATTTGGTTAGATACTATTGGAGATGGATATTTAATCTGGAGGTTCCGCCTCTTAAATAAACATACAGCATTGATAGGGTTGTTAAACATATAATTTTGAAAGTTTTGAAGACGCCAAATTGGAATTCAAATGGAAAATGTTCAGATCTTTCATACCCGTTACTGACTTTATAGTGAAGTGTAGGAAAGCCTTTTATGATGTAGGGTACCAGCATGACTTGTATCAAAAGTGCCAGCCAAAAAGTTAACAATAGTTTATTCAGGAGAGGATGAAATTACCATAAGGGGGGAATGAAGGAACAGCAGAGAATTATCAGAATCATGTGAAAATCAAGTCAAGAAAGATCAGGATTTCGCAGTAAAGGCACCAAGTGAATAACATTTAAAAATTACGAGAACAGCAATATGATGAGGTATCACTGTAGTGTGTTGTATGGTACTGTAACATATTGGAAAGTACTGTAGTGTGTTGTATGACTGTAGTGTGTTGTATGTTACTGTGGTGTGTTGTATGGTACTGTAGTGGTTTGAATCATATGATACTGTAACGTGTTGTATAGTACTGTGGTGTGTTGTACGGTACTGTAGCGTTTTGTATGGTATTGCAACATGTTGTATGGTATTGTAACGTGTTGTATAGTACTGTAGTGTGTTGTATGGTACTACTGTAGTGTTTTGCATGGTACTGTAATGTGTTGTAAGGTACTGTAACGTGTTGTATGGTACTGTAACGTGTTGTATGGTACTGTAACGTGTTGTATTGTACTGTAGTATGTTGTATGGTACTGTAACGTGTTGTATGGTACTGTAGTGTGTTGTATGGAACTGTAGTGTGTTGTATGGAACTGTAGTGTGTTGTATGGTACTAACTGTAACTTGTGTGGTACTGTAAAACAAACTTGTTGTATGGTACTGCAGAGTGTCGTATGGTACTGTAAAGTATTGTATGGCACTGTTGTGTGTTGTATGGTACTGCAGTGTGTTGTATAGTACTGCAGTGTGTTGTATGGTACTGTAACTTGCGGTATGGTACTGTAACTTGTTGTATGGTACCATAACTTGTTGTATGGTACTGTACTGTGTTGTACGGTACTGTAACTTGTTGTATGGTACTCTAATGTGTTATATGGTACTAACTGTAACTTGTATGGTACTGTAAAACAAACTTGTTGTATGGCACTGTAACTTGTTGTATGGTACTCTAATGTGTTGTATGGCACTGTTGCGTGTTGTATGGTACTGCAGTGTGTCGTATGGTACTGTAGTGTGTTGTATGGTGACATACTTGCAAGTATTTGCGACCCCGCACAGAGGTCAGACGTTTGTCCTGTAGGATCAGCACATTGTCTGCCTCCTGAGTGGCTTTGGCCGACCCAAACACGGACGCCGTGGTCAGATCTTCGCTCTCTTTCTCCTGAAAACAAAAGAGCAATCATCACTTAAGGATGCTATTGAAAGTCGTAGAGCAATTTTCAAACTGATTTGACTAAACATAAATGTAGATTACATCAACCTGATGAGTGAAAAAATAGGAATGCTAAACAAAGGTAGACATACTCACATCCCTAACAGACAGTGTCTTGAAAACAATTTCTGCGGCATTTTTCCACAGGATTCTTACCTCAATAGAGCGTTGACAAATCTCTTCCTGGGAGAGACAGCCACTATAACAGGAACTTTTCTTGTAAACTCCAATTGGCACGAACCCCACAGCCAGCAGGATATGGTAACCGACCATTGCACTCCTTAAATGATTCCAGGAACAAATTATGTATGGGCCTGCCTTCACAGGAAAAGCACCAGAATTCCCCCGACCCCCTCCCCCCCTCCTCAAATATCCAACAATCAACCAAACAAACAATACTCACAAATCACAAGATCAAAGATTGGAGCGAACTGACGAGCAAAAGAAATCACTAATTGGGAACCCAAAACTATAACCATATATGATATGAGTGCTTTAACAGTAAGAGTACATTAAGCTTAAAGCAGGTAAGTGACAAATGCCAGACTACAAGGTCGTACTTTAGTAGCTTTACAATCTCTTTGCCCTCCTTGTCAACTATTAACACACCTGAGCCTATTCCCGTGTATTTACAGGACGCACCGCTGGGCCAGTGGCCGAATCCCCTGTATTTACGGGATGTGCTTTATCGATCGATATCTCCTACGTTTTTCGGCTACAAGCTACGGGAAGCGGCAAGCCAACAGTTGACCCACTTGTTTCATTTCGTTAAAAATTTGGTGAAGTCATGTACGATACTTTTTTTTAGCTGTAACGGAATAAGTCAGTCACCCCTACATTGCGATAGATGATCTTTATTAGAAATTGGGCGGAAAAAAAAAGTTCCGTAACCCCAAGACAATGCCATTTCAAAATGTTGATAAAATAAAAATTATTCTGACAAATCAGATGTAGTTTTCTTTGTATGTGAGAGCATTTCTTTCTTTCTTCTGTTGCAATAAAAAAAATTATGAAAGATTTCACGGTCTTTTGTGGTTAACAATTCAATATACCCCAAAACTGTCAGGCTACAATGGTTGTTTGGTGAAAAATAGCTCAGGTTCAAGAGAGTTAAATCGATCTTATTATCATCATCTCACCTTACGAGGATGTATGACTAGAGTGACGTGGCAGTTCATGTTGGTGGCAAACTTCCTGAACGCTGCAACAATGGAGTCCTGCCTCATGAAGCGGTCGGTCCACTCGGAACCACCGGCGCCCATCATGAACTGCAGGTTGTCCACCACTACATGGGCGATGTCGTGAACGTACACAGCGTGTGACATGGCCTGTAAATACAGAAACACAGCCCTTACTCATCTATTATCTATTTGTGGTGGCCGAATTTTGCTATTCAAAAGGCTTTTTAATGGCTGCATCGATAGACAAGCGGTTTTTGCCTAAAGATTCTTAAAAATATTCTCCAGATCATGATGCCCTTCATTTTTTCAGTTTTGAGACAGTTTTGCTGCTAAAAACTAAATTTCTGCATTTCGCCGATCGCTTTTGTAGGCAGACGCTTCTGTCTCTGTAATTTAAGAAAATCCGGTGCGGAAGGGATATTTTGCGTGGCGCATTTTGTTTTGAGAGTATAGATCTAGATCTAGACCTATTTTTTGCTTCTCTCAAGATTTATTGTTCCATTCCTGTAGAGCATAAATAGAGTAGGCCAATGACTTTCAGTTGATGTTAATGCACTGATCATTCCTTTCATATATATATATATATATATATATATATATATATATATATATATATATATATATATATATATATATATATATATATATACACACACACATAGCTTATGACATAGCATATAGGTAGAGAAACACAACCCTTACTCATATATAAAATATATATATATATACATAGCTTATATGACATGTCCTGTGGACACAGAAACACAACCCTTACTCATATATACACTCAGCATGTGACATGGCCTGTAGATACAGAAACACAACCCTCATTCATATATATAGTATTTATATACATACAGTGACATGGCCTGTGAACACAGAAACACAATCCTTACTCATATATACACTCAGCATGTGACATGGCCTGTAGATACAGAAACACAACCCTCATTCATATATATAGTATTTATATACATACAGTGACATGGCCTGTGAACACAGAAATACACACATGGGCAATACCGAGAACGTACACAAAGTGATACATGGCTTGTAGACACAGAAACACGGACTCAAACCATGTACTCCTTCAGCATGAGACATGGCATGATGATATAGACATACAACCTCAACTCATGTATGTAAACAACATGGGATATGGTATGTAGACAGAGAAATGCAGCCTCATCTTACCATGGGTACACAGTTGAGTTTCCCTGGGACAAACTCAAATAATTTTCTCTTACAAATGATTCCCAGACATAAAACTAATAATAATAATAATAATTGATAATAATGATGATGATGATAATAATAATATAATAATAATAATAATAATAATAATAATAATATTAATAATAATAATGATAATAATACCTATTAATAATAATAACATTATAATATTATTAATAATAATGAGAGTATTAACAATAATAACAATTGCATTTCTATAGTGCATCACGCTCTACAACATGCTTTATAACTACAGCCTAAGGTCACAACCTGTCCTAGTTGAATTGATATGGTATTTTGAAACAATTTCTTTTAACATTAACAGAAAATCAATTAAAAAACTGTACTAAAAGTGTTTGTCATGTTGAAGCTTTTAATATATTTTTCAGCATTTTTTTCAATTAATCCTGATTCTTGCAGCTTCAATAATGCTTTTACATTAAAAGTAACATACTTCCAGATTCTATTTTTTTTCTTTCTTTTCCTTGAAATGACAAATTCAAAGACATAATATATCATGACAGACTCTGACACATCTGCATATTGTTGAAGATAGATGGTAGATAACACTAGAAAAGCCAGCATGTTGTACACTAAATAAATGCAAAAGTCCGATTAGCTGGCTGGAGAGGCAAAAGTGGGAGGGAATTTGACACTCGACCCACTGACCGTCCTAACCGCTGTAAGAGAAAGTTTGAGAAAGAATAGGGCGGATGGCGGTTCCCACACTCTAGGTAGATTGAAGGATAAAGGGATCTGTTGTTTCTTGGAACATAAAACAATGTTTAACACTATTAACCTTTTGTCTGCCTGCGCCTACAACAGGAGTTAGCCAAACCTGTTTCTCTCCGGAAGGTGATCCTTTCCTCAGCTTTGGAGCCCCGATGTGTTGGAATCTCACACGTTACACACAAATAAACCGAGGCTCTAACTAGCCTTTTCTCTACCTATACTCTCAACAGGCCTCCTCTGCCTTGATACAGCTCTCCCCTCTAAAGTCTAACCTGTAGTAATCCAGACTGCTTTTATACACTTGCACCAACTAAACTGAGACTCACACTTTACTCACTCTCACACTTTCAGCCAAACAAAACAATAGGCTAGGCCTAACCCCCTGCCACTGACCAACACGCCAGATTGCAAAGTAAACAAAAAAATAGACCACAGGATCTAAAGAGGAGAGGGGAAACACAGCCTTCTGTGCGGACCAGTCCGACGAATCTCCAACCAGATTATGATGGAGACTATACGCAGACAGACTCTGGGAAGGATCCTGAAGAGGGGGGGGAGAGCAGAGATGGACATGTTCTGACTGCAGTGACCCCAACACAGAGGACAACTAAGACAAGTAAGTAAAAGTCCAATTCTTGCAAACCTATTTTAAGCAGATCTTAAAACTGATGAACACAACGCAAAATATCTTGACACAAAATTTTTTAAAAACATGACAAAAGCAGGAGATAATTTCCTAGTCTGATAGTGAGAGACGTACATCGATGACTTTCTTGATGCTCTCCTGTCCATGGAAGGTCATGAAGTACATGGGCAAGAGCTGGAACTGGTCAGCGTACTGGTCAAACAGGTCCAGTCTCTTCGACAGGTTTCTCCTGCCAACAAATGCACAAAGGGGCATAAAGTCGCTGTCGCAAACAATCCACTTGAGTCTAAATTTTGAGAACTATTCATTTTTACACCCTCCCAAAGCTCTATCAAAGATACACTTTGTAGCATTTCCAAAATGCAGTTTAATGCAATGGTCAAAGATTACAGTATTTTGCTTTTCATGATTCCTGATTGGAAAAACGCAACAAAAATCTAGTTCTTTGTCCCTGGAGTAAAAAATGCCGAAATGGACTTAAGTGGATTGCTTGCAACACAGGCGATAAGCACATTTCTTTGTACCAAATCTTATGAAACTGTAAACATTTCTGCGCTCTCATCAACACAATATACCTCATGGGCAACCCTCAGTATCTGAAAGCTAGAACTTCAGAAAATCTTTGCCTTATCTGAACATTCCAGTACCTGAATTTGATACTTTTTCTCCCTAAAATCTTTGCTAGATTATTTACAGACATGAAGAATGATAAAAGACTTTTCAGTACGAGAAATGAACAATAAGAGCGCACTTACGACATGTGAAAAGTCCAACAACATGGGAGAAGGAAGGGCCAAGTACAAGCCTGGAAATGGGTGGAAGCACTTGAGGGTTTTTAAAAATCAAAACTGTAACATTATCCAAATGTTGCCACAAACAGAAGTGGTAAAGACGGGATACCACTATGTTAATATATAGGGGAATATTGGGGGG